ATCCAAGGCTGTGCTGAACTACATCATCATCCCCACCAATCGACAAGTCCTGAACGTCCTTTCCCAAGTCAGCTGGAGGAAATGCATCCACCACTTCTTGTACATTCGACACAATCTTATGCAATCTTATTTTCCCTTCTTCAGCAAGTACCTTCTGAGTTCGTCTCATAAGGTCAATCACTTCTTCAGGAGTAGGTCTAGACATTAATGCGTCATCAACATAAAAGTCCTGGTGTACAAAGTTGACTACATCGTGATCCGCGTCTCGTACTGCCCGTCTAAGCCCATATGTTGCCACCGCAGGGGAAGGCCGATTCCCAAACACATGGACGGTCATACGGTACTCTACCATTTGACAATGTGGATCGTTGTTCTCATACCAATAGAACCGTAAGTAGTCTCTGTCTCTCTCGTTTACAAAGAAACGGTAAAACATCTGCTGGATGTCTCCTGCTATAGCACACAAATCCTTGCGAAATCGTAACAAGATTCCTAGCAAATTGTTTGTCAAGTTGGGTCCTGACAAAAGAGCATCATTCAATGAACATCCCTGATACACTATCGAAGAATCAAATACAGCACGAACTTTGCCAGGTTTCTTAGGATGCGTCACAGCAAATATTGGGATGTACCAACACTCATGTCCCCTGGCTACCTCTGGTGCTTTCTCCGCTGCTCCTGTGTTGAATATGCTTTCCATAAATTCACACATCTGTTTTAGCTTTTCAGGATTTTTCTTCAAACTATGGTCTAGGTTGCAAGCCCGTTTGAAGACTTGAGTTTTATTGTTCATAAGGTGTGGACGTGCATTCTTGAAAGGAAGTTGAGATGTCCAATTACCACTAGAGTTCTTCTGGAAAGTCTGGTCCATTAGTGACAAGAATTCGCGATCTTCCACAGAATTTCCCACCTTATTGTCATGTCTGTCAGTGTAAAACAAATTATCACCTTTGAAGTCCTGAGCTTGAGGGGGCATGTAAGTAGGGGGGCCTTGGACCTTAAGATGAAGGCTGTTCTGGCATGGGGTAAATATTGTCCCTCTACCATCATTCTGAATATTGGTTTTCAAGACACTGAGATCACTTGGCTTGTGACGCCCATCCAAACATCCAAACATACCTCTCCAATTACGACCCATCCAAGGCTGAGCTTCTGTGCAAAGCGGGATGCTGGGGGCCCAGTCACCTGGCCTTGCACCTGATGCACATCCACCAAGTCCCTGCCAATCAGCAGCTGTATACCAACATCTCTGCGTAGTGGGGCAAGTTCCTTAGCAATATGCCGTAAGTGAGGATGAGCATGCGCAACCTCTGGAGTTGGGATTTCCATCAAGTTGTCTGGAATGTCATTACACTCTATAACGGGCGGAAGCTGATGACAGACAAGTCCATCCATAGACTGAATACAGAATCCCACTGCTCTTCTCCCAGATGTCTCAGTCACTCCAGCACAAGACTTCAGTCTGTAAGGGATGGGATCAGATGTGACTTCAAGTTGGTCCAAAAGTTCAGAGCGAGCTAGGGTGTGGTTGCTCTGATCATCGAGCAACACATAAACAGTCACAGCAGCTTGTGGACGATTAATGGGAAATACCTTAGCAAGAACAACCTTGGCACAAGAACGTCCACCACTGACTGAACCGCAGAGTGTGGTGCACTTCGAAGATATTTCTGTTCCCTCCCCGCCATCATTTGAGGTGAGTATGTTTTCCTTTGTGTCTCTGTCACCTGAGTCTTTCTTATACCAGTGCATAGCAGTCGGGTGTAGTTTGCTCCCGCACACAGAACATGGAGAATATATGGTGCAAGATGACTGTTGATGTTCAGTCGACGCGCAACATTTGAAGCAGATGGAATGTTGCCTTAAGAATGCACGACGCTTATCCAGTCTCCACTTCCGAAATGCCTCACATTCGTTCAATGAATGTTTTGACTTGTGCACTGGGCACCGAGCTATATCACGGGAGTGATTCTGAAGGCGTGTATCACTTGTATCCATATCTATCTGGTCGTCTCTGGAAATGCTTGTCTTATGTGTAGATAATGTCTTCCTGCGGTCTAACGGCTTAGGAGTACGGTAAGTATCTTTACGTGGTTGATTGTACACAAGTCCAGGGTCATTGCACATAGTGGCCATCTCACTGATGAATTTCAAAAAATGTTCCAATGGAGGGTACTGTGCATTGTTCTGCTGTTTGTACCTAAAGGCAATGGTAGTCCATTTGTCTTGAAGCTTCTTCGGTAGCTTGGCCACTATAGGTGTAATTCCAACAGATGTGTTGAACTGTGCTAACAAATTGGCAAAAATGTCATTATCCTTCAGGGACTGGATCTCGTTCAAAATATCACATAGTTGGTAGAGTTCTTTCCCATCCTGACTGTCTAAAGTCTTAAAGTTCTCCAGCTTCTTCCTGATCGAAGCCTCTACAAGTGAAGGTGCACCATATCGCTCTTCCAGACGACGCCAAACTTTCAAACGACCTGCTACAGAGTCATTAGCATGACAAGCCTTAATGTTTCTGGCCTCGACACTTGAACTCGGTCCCAAGTACTTGACGAGCAGATCAAGTTCTTCTGTTGGGGTCACTGACAGTTCACTCATGACTCGCAGGAAGCTGGTCTTCCACGACAAAAAATGCTCTGGCTTGTCATCAAACGAGTCGATCTTGGTTACGAGGTCTTTTTTGAACCAGAATCTAGCAAAGTCTGTGAACAAGGGTTGTGGTTCGGTCTCTAAAGGGGTTGCAGGCGGTTCCTTTGCTGTGGGTATATAGGCTGGAAAGCCAGGGGTCACAGGAACATCTGTTGAGCGGGACGGGGTGTACATTGGAATGGCGCTAGTTGCAAAGGTAGGTGGGCGTGGTAAAAAGGCGTGTTCCCTCCGAGTCTGAGGTTCAAACTCTGGCGCGTACACGTTCAAGGATGGTGGCTCAAGATCACGAACAAAGTCGTCTACAACACTCAGGTGGTCGAAGTCGGATATATCCGACCTATCATCTTCCTCCGCCATAGACAGTTCTGCGACTGCAATCTCCTTCCTTGCCGATAACTCGTTTATTTGTTTTTGGATATCGAGTGCCATCTGTTTTAACTCGTTTTCTTTCTTCACGAAATCCAGATGAACTTTTGCGGCTTCCAAACTGAGTTTCTGTGTGCTTCCAGTGTTAGAACGAGCATCCGTTAACGAAGGTGTCTTCTTCAATAGTACAGGAGAGCATACATTATTAAGTCTCTGAGCTATAGTACGGGCAAGGATTTCCACCCTTTCCATGTAAGTTCGTTTTACCACTTGGTGGCTTGTCTGTTCGAGAGAACTTTCGTATGTATTATGCCTGCACAGGAAGTCCAGGTATTCATCGCTCACACACTTATAGTCACTAAAACATGAGTCCAACCTGTGTCCAAGCTCACTCAATGCACTAGCACTACTGGTAGTTACGTCGCACTGTAACATAGTATCCAATTCTCTTCCTAATGAAAGTAGTTTGCGAATATAAACATCCCTATATTCTTCAAAGAGGCTTGCACCCTTCTGTGTGGGTTTCAACAGTCTTTTTGGGCGCACATCCCAATCCTCAGAGTCTGGGTATCTGTATGCCATGTCCAGAGTAAGCTGCTCACATTCCTTTCACTGTCACTGCGTATAGGCAGCTAACCACACAATCAAACTTACTGTGTTTCAAGTTCATTGAAGAACGTGGTGAAAGGAATGTGCTCTCGGCCGGATGGACAATATTGACGTTATAGCTGCAAACATGTGCTGCATCCCGCACCAGCAATGAGAACTTAAAAGTATTAAACAAAACAAAACACTGTAAACCCGGAAATATCCGGTTGCACTTAAAATAAGTTGTACATAAACTAATTCGTGAACACTACACCATAGATGACTTTCTCTAGTAAAACATCCAAATATGAAACGGATGTGACAGAATGTTAGTGTCTTTTATTTCGAATTCAGTGGGATATATATAATTACCGACGGATTGGATATATATATATATATTAGGGATGTCAAAATACGTATTTTCCTTATTATTCGATTGCATTGTTCGAACGATAGTCGAATATTCGGAACATTTTCTTATAATAAAATTTTATTTCAAACTTCACTGGTACATGACGTATTTATAACCCCAAAACCCTTTTACTTAAATCTGTTTAAAATTAACATTAATGCAACTTACAACGCGTGGATAGCTTGATTAAATGAAATGAATTTAGACACCTAATTCCCCTAAATGTATGATTTCCCCGTCAATTGAATTCATAAATCGGTCTGTACATGCAGTCAGTTTTTATTTTAGCAAGATTAAAAATTTGCCAGCCGATATTTTTAAAAAACTTCTTATGAAATAAATTGGGGGGGTTGGGTTGTTTAATCTCACACTATCCACGAGTAAGATGCCTATGAAACTGTTAAACAGTTAGATACTGCTTATTCAATTATTGATTGCTGCTATCAAAAAGTCCTTAAAACAGTCTATGGTTTGTTCCTTGCATTTAAGCAATCTTAAAATAACAAAAGATAATTGGTACATGGTTTAAGATCAAGTCCAATTAATATTTTTACAAACAAAGCCCAGTATATTGGTGGGTAATTTATTACTAAAACAACACAGGCCGTTACTGACCAAAAAATTCTCGAAGCTGTGTAGCACTTGTAATTACTGTACTTTTTTACTTTTTTATACGTACATGGAAAAGCAACCGTTTTTGTTAAGGAAAATAACCTTATCGACTGTCTCTGAGGAAGGTGGTTTCTCAATTTCTGATGAGAATTCCATCTCGTAATCACTCATTTATTGCATTTATTTAATTATAATAATATTCGAATGTCGTTTCATTATTCGATCGTCGGTCCATTCGACTGATAGTCGAATAGTCGACTATTCGTTGACATCCCTAATATATATATATATATATATATATATATATATATATATATATATATATATATATATATATATATATATGTATATATATATATATACTTCACAGATAACCAGGAAGTAACCCGACTAGAGTTCGAAAACGATTGGGTCACTGCATACCATCTCGGTAACGCTCGAGAAGCCAACCTTCTCTTTACCAAGGCGGACACCAACGGAGACGGCCATCTGACTCACGCAGACATGCCTCTCATTTATACCTACTTCGACATGAACAGTAGGTTGTTTTTAAAGCACAGCAGCGAAAATGTTTTAATTGATGATTTTTGACAATTTTGGGTGTTTTGCAAGTGTTGAATTAGGTTGTGCTCATGTTTTGTGTCACCATGGACGTTAAAGAGTTCTCTTATCCAGGTCATCTAATATGTTTCTTTAACGATGTCATTTTAGATGACGGATGTGTAGACATGAACGAGTTTCTTACACAGTGGGGAGATCTGAAGCTAGCACCTGTCGATGTCGACATCATTGATGCCGGGGATACAAGCTCTGTGGCTCCACCGACGACGCATGCCAATAATGGACACCATGGGCGTTAACATTGAAACCTGTAATTTATGATTAAATTCATTTTTGTAGCAATTGTCATAAACCTGTAGAATTATTTCACATTGGCTTGGGTACACTTTACATGTAATTTTAAATCTATAAAGAGTTAATGATATAATAACAAACGGGACAGGAATTCATCTAAAAAATTCAAGCCTCGTTAAAATGAGAAAATTTTGTGGAGGAACATTCAATCGTCCCTGTGAACTCAAACACAGCGTATTTATTCGTTCCAGTTGCTGGTGTCTACGCTATCAAAATCACAAGATAATGTTTGATACTTGTGTTTCAAATATGCATATAAGCATGATAGTGCACTTTGTTCCATATGCCAGATGTTTGCTATATTAGTGAAACTTCTTTTTGCCAAAATTGTTCACTTGAACTCTCAACTATTCCATAATAACCCTGTAAGTCTTCTCATTGGCTTGTTTTGTACAATTGTATCTTGACATTTTTTTCCTTACCCTTTCTTCAACTCAAATACAGGTACCTATACAAGGAATACATGTTCGTATACCACTTCACTTTTAATATATAATAATTCTATCGCACTTGGAAAACAGCACGTGATTGTAAACTCCTTGATGACTAAATTTTATCTATTTCTAGCAAAATACTTGGCTTCTATAAAACTTTCAAACTAGTGTAATATGTATCTATACAAGGGGTATATCATCCCTGAAGTTGGTGCAGAGGAAAATACTAGATAGTATTTTACAAGGACAACATACCGTCGCAGTTCTGCTGACAGGATACGGTAAAACTTTACTGTACCAGCTGTACCTCGTAGCCCTCTGAAACATGAAATGACCAGTTGACACCGACAAAAAAGTAGTTGTTCAATCCTCTCATGCTTCCTTAATAAAGGATTAATTTAATTGGCTGGGCAAGGTTGAGCACAAAGGTAAAACATCCTCTATATCTTTTAGTTTTAGGTCCCTCTTTTCATCTGTAACTGTGTCTTTAAGATCAACAGGATCGTTATCTGGAATCCATACCAAACAGACATCAGGATCATGAATATTCGTATATTCCCTATCAACTCTAAGTGATAACTGACTGGACTGTAATGGCTTCACTTTAAAGTCATGATATCCTTTTACCACACAATGTCTAAAAAAAATCCCTCTTTGGCTGCTTTGAAGATTTTCCTTGACTCTAAAAGTAATAAAAATTTGAAAGTGATACTTTTATATTATATATAAGTGCAAAACATACATGTATATATATAGACAGATTGAATACATAATGATATATAAATAATAGGTATAGATAACTCTATACAATACAAGTATATTGTGTCATCTAAATCATTTAAAATTAAATTACCATGGTTAATTCATGACATTTGTGCAAATCTGACATATGAATTCAACAAATTCCTGAGATATTGCATCTTTATTCCATGGATGGTCAGTTGGAATGCATAGAATATGTTCTCACTGCTGACATTTCTCACACTGTGTCCAGAGTCCAGGTTCAGACTCAGCAGCATGGCATACAAAACATACATCTGAATCAGATGCTAAGTAAGCTGTTGAAGCAGATGATGGATTTAAGTTTGCAGTAGAGGAAAATTTTGGCACCCTCTTATTTGACTTTACAGAACCCTTTAAGATTTATTCCCTTTTCTTTTGGATGGCACGGTGTGAATGCGTTTGGCTTTTTCTTTTGACTTAAGAAATTTCTCCTTAGCTTTCCTCTCTTTCAATGCAATTTTTTTCTAGCTTTTTCCAGTGACTTTAATCCGATCTTCCTGATAGAATCTACCGATGTAAAATTGTCTGACAATTCATCTGAAAGTATTTTTCTCTTTGTTTTCTTCAATTTCACAGTTGGTATTGTAACTGCTTCTTTGACATGCTGGGAGATTTCATTGGGATTTGATACTGGCAAACCAGTATTTTCTTCTGAATCATTTTCACAACCCAGTGCAAAAACTGCTTGTGCAAGGATACCGAAGCCTGAATTTACTTCAGCATTCAGAATGGTTGGTTCTGTGCTAGATGTAGAAGGGGTGGAGGTGGGTGGCGCTGCATGAGGAATCGAAGGAATTCCGGTGGAAGTGGATGGACCTACACAGAATTTAGATGGATCATTATCCACAGATGATGAGGTTTCAACTAAGTGTTCTTCATAGTAAGGGCAGGCTTAAGTCTACAGTCTGAAATGTTATATCTGTCTGTTGGAAACACATCAGAAGAAGCAAAACTTTTTTGCACTGTTAATGGTTCGTAGAAATCCAGAAATGCCTCTTGCAAGTGTCTGGCAAAGTTTTGTTTTCGTACCATGTCTTCGGGATGTTGTTTGGTGTGGGCTCTAAGGTGTTTGTACCAACTCTTCTTCAAAGGCCCATAAACTCCCACATCCAGTGGTTGCATCAAGTGAGCTGCATATTTTACTAACCTGTAGATTTCTATACCAAGATCCTTGGCCATAGAAGAGGAATCCATTTCAACATGACTCCTTACAATATCGATAAGTAAAACAATTGCTCTCTCACAGCATGATTATGAAGATGTTTTGAGCTTGGAAAACACAAAAAATGGAGGAATTATTCTGCCTTCAGCATTTGCACAGTACATCACAGTAACTCTCTCTTTGCTCCTCCCCCCGATACATGTGGAACTGGATCTGCATTCACCTTTTTGGCTGGACCTATCACATGACCATCGTAAATCCAGTTTCATCTGCATTATAAACTCTCTCAGGTTTATCCAAGAGATGATTGTCTGACATAAATATTCTTTTTTTTATTATCCATTGTATTACATACAAAATCAAATTAAATTAGCAGCATATTACAATGGATATTTAGCACTCACACACCCATTCATACATCCATTTGCCTTTTAAATTAATATGGAGGTTGCTTCATAGTAATCAGCTAATCAACAATTGCTTCTATCATAAACTAAATATCAAAAACCTGTCACATTATCTTGCATTTGTTCAAAAATATTTTTCCACAAAATCCATTGTTCTTCAAAATAAAACAGTTTTGAGTTGCTAATAGACATACATCTTTCAATATTATGTTTCATTTTCAAATAACTTAGTAAACCAGTAAATGAAGGTATTTTTGGTTGTAGTAAACATGAAAAATATATTGTTTTGTATATAGTATCATAAAGTTTTCAATTCTGTTGTCCTTAGTAAGTGGTAATTCACCTAGGGTAATATTTTTGACATTGAATCCAACTCTTTTTGAAATTGTTCTGTATATATGTAAACTCAAGTTCCTCCATAAAGATACAATATAATCACAACTGACAAATACATGCAGTAAAGTTTCAGTTTCCTTAGCACAGAACTTACAAATGTCAGTAGATTTTATATTGATTTTCTTAAGATAAGAATCTACAGGGAGGATCCTATGTAGAATTCTATATTGTAGCCACTGTACAGAAGAATCGGAGGTAGTCTTAAAACAAACCTTAAAAACATCTTTAATACAAATATCTGCCACTCCATAGGGAAATAAATCTTGATTCCACTTTGGAATTGCTGTAGGAATTATATCATTTTTGTTTATATAATTGTAAATTTTCTTTATTTATCAAACCAGTCATCACCAGCTGTCATCAATCTCTTTCACGGTCACCTTGGCTCTACAGATTTCAGAGGTGTTTCTGTTCTTTTTGGAATAATGTGACTGTTGGGCCTTAAAAATCAATAGTACCACTCCCTACTAGGTCTGTTGTCTTTAAACGGATTTTCTCTCTTGTCCTCTTTAAATGATATTTTCAACAAAGTCCAAAAACTCTGGACGTAACCCTATTCCTCTTTTTGTCATTTCTGACAAATATTTTGCCATTGCGTCCTCCTCAGACTTATTAAACACAGGTCTTGAACCTCTTTTGTTATCAACATCTACTTTTCCAGATGCTCTGCTTTGGAGAAAGGAATAAAAGAGGTTGCTTTCTGACGCGGTTCTTCCAATAGGTAATTTATTATAATTCATGTAACCTGATATAAAGCTTTCCCAACAGTTGTCGTCTTGTGGGGTGATTTACTCTTATAATTCCTTGTAACCTTAGCAGCTAGTCTCCGTGCAGGACTTTTAGATGGGGTCCAAATTTCCTTGCGTTTCTTAGTTCTTCCCATTTCTACATCAAAACAATAACCAAGTGTTACATATTGTTGTGTAATCTGCACCAACAGCGGATTTTCTTTGGGTAGGGCTGGTGGTTGTTATACCCATTATATTTTTAACAAGCCCCCCGCCCCAATTCAAACATTAAAAAAAAAATAGTCCACCCCCACCCCCGATCCATATCTAACCTAAGTACAATCATGTCATGGACATACGTACATACGTACGTAGAAATGTTACTTATGTTTTTGATACATGTATATGAAATACAATTTCTTTTTATAAAAAAAGGGGGTCCGTGTAAACCCAGACTAGCCTGTAATAGTTATTATTTACTTTATTCTCTTGGAATATGATACGACAAACTACTGTGCATCAGCCGGTGTTTGTGTGTGCTGAGTGCAGTTTATGTATACACGTGATTCGAAATACCTTAAACTGTAGGGGTTGCAATTGTGGTCATAACTTTTATAATTTTGAAGTGTTTTCAAAAACATTTAATGCTCTTAGAAGCTTATAAAATTGTCGTTCTTTCAATACCAATATGACATGTATCAACCAAAAACGCCGCTACGACAGCGCTGTAAAATGTCATGCAACGTTTTCTACTAGTGTATTTCTTCGATAAAGACGTAGCGAGTTCGTTAATTAAACAAGAGGCCCAAGGGCCTTAACGGTCACCTGAGTATAATACAATTTAGAGGATCCATAGAGTATAAAATGAACTGAAAGGTGAAGCTTTGTTGCCCAAAAGCAAGAAAAATAGGGTGATCAGGATCAACAAAATAATTAGTCTAGTGTTCATTAACAGTACATAAATTAGGTTCTAATCTGTTCCCCATTTATCACTCTCAACAGACAGTACATAAACAAACTTATAATCAGTGCTTCTGTACTCTTTTAATTCCTTGTTGAAATCTCTTACA